TGAAATTAAGAAAAAAATTAAAGATATGAAACAAGTTTTTAATATGAAAATATTTACCATATTGTTTTAATACCTGGAGGAACTGGGTTGTAATGATATGTTAATGTTTATTAACAGTATAATATTTAAATTGCATGATGGAATGTAATTTTTTTGATTCATGTGTTGTTATTTTTTTTTTATTTGATATTTTTTTCATGTTTCCATATATTTCATATGCTATATATATTATATATTTTTACAATTTGAAAATAGTTCTATTCTTCTGTGTAGTTTATCACAAAATATTTGAAATTTTTTATTAATGTTTAATGTATGTTGTATTAATTGTATTTTTGTAATATGTAATTATTGTTATGCTTTGTACAAAATTTTATATTAAAAATTTTATTATGGTTAATTTGTACAAGCAATCATTGGCAATATTTTTTATTATTATGAATCATAAATATGATTCATTTTTTTTGAATATAATGTGTCATAAAATAATTGTAGTTATATAGTATATATATTATAAAATCAGCAAAATATAAAAAGTGTCTGCTCATTTTTTCTAATAATATGAAGTAAAATAAATTTTTCATATAGATAAATATAATATATTTCATATTTAAAAATATTGTAACTCTTTATTTTCTTTGTAGCTAATGCTGTGTGTATAGAATGCTTATACGCTTATTTTCTTATTAATATAAGTGGGCTTACACGTTTTGTAAATTTTTATTTATAATGTACGCAACAGCATATCTACAGCAATGAAATTAATGTTATGCAATATTGTTGCCATATTATTTTGTATCAAATATTACATGTATCAAATATTTAATAGAACATTATATTTAATATATTTTGCAAAATTAACAATAATATAATATTATTTTTATTTTAAATATTTTTTTATAATAATACTTTCTAAATTCAAGTAAATTAATTACACTATATAAAAAAACAATTAATTATTATTATAAAAATCAATTTATATTAGATAAATAAATTTATAATTTTTTTAAATATTTTATAATCATACATTACATACATTAATATAATTATATATAATTACAATGTAATTAATAGGTAATATTATAAAAATATTAATAAGACATTTTACTATCATATTTAATTAATTAATCATATTTAAAGTTTTTTTTTCATGTTAGAAATACTTTTTCATACAGAAATAATAAAAATTTATTATCATTTATTATTTTTTTTCTTAATATAGAAGAAAATATAATATAATAATTATTATAACAATATTACAATATTACAACAATATTTTATTTAAAGTTTATTCAAAGACATATAGTTTATATATTGCATTTTGTAAATATAAAAATATAATCTCTATAAACATGAAAATTTAAAAATATTAATATTATTTTTAAAAATTCTCTTTAATATTTTAAAGATTATTATTTTATTTATGCTATAATTAAAGGAATAAAAAATATAATTAAATATGATAAAAATAAATTATGTATTTTATTGTATTTATAATTATTAAAGATTTTTAAATAATTATGTAAAAG